TTTTGTGTGTAGCACTTTATATTAAGTATTATTTAAGAGTTATTTTTTAAATGTTTTTAAAACATTTTTTTTTTTTTTGCTTTAGAAAATATTTGAATATTATAATGAAAAACTTGAATAACATTTTTTATATGTTTTCTACTAAAGATTCATTTTAGCCTAAGAAAAGTTCCTGAACCTTTTTTTTTAACCTAACCGTTCTTCTTCTTTACCTAAAGAAAAGTTCATTTTAGCCTAAGAAAAAATCATTTTAAAAAAGAAAGAATCTTTTTAGCCTAAGAAAAGTTCCTGAACCTTTTTTTTTAACCTAACCGTTCTTCTTCTTTACCTAAAGAAAAGTTCATTATAGCCTAAGAAAAGTTCATTTTAAAAGTTCATTTTAAAATATGTTTTGAATAATTAGTTGTCAATAAAGCGACCAAAAATATTACAACCAATTGTATTTATAGAAAGCCAGCTGGTAGTTTGAAATTATTTAAAACCCATTTGAAAAATTTTTTAATCAAAATTACCATTTCAAAGAAATACATGTACTTAACTGGAGATTATAATTTATTATTATTATAGTTAGTTTATTTTGTCGTTTTACACATTTTACAATGTTATCTTTAAATTCGAATAAATATATATATAATTACAAGCTGACAGGGGCAAGTAGAAGACATAAAGTCTTATCATCAAGCCCTTTTGTGAAATAGAGAAATATAAAATTTCTAAAATTCCAATAATATAAAAAAGAGTTAAATTAAAAATTTTGAAAAAAATAAACAAACATTCAAACAAAATTAAAATAAAAATAAAAAAATTTAAAGAGTTTGAAATAAAGTAAAAAGATTGAAAAAAATTAAAAAGTTTAAAATAAATTAAAAATTAAAAAAAGTAAAAATTAGAAAGAAAAAAAAATAATAATAATAATAATAATAAAATCTCGAAATAAAAAAATAAAAATGTATACAATGCGTAAATTAAAAAGTTTGAATTTTTTTTTACAAATCAGTACATATACGTATACATATTCAATACAAAGCGAAGTATATATTCAAAAATATTTATATATTAAAAAGATTCCAAACGTTATGTAGATTTAAATTCATTTGTTAGTATTTATTAAAAAAAGTTAAAAAAAAAACAGTCAAAGAGAAAATCAAACAAGAAAGATATATATGTATATATATATATAAAAAAAAAAAAAAAAAAAAAAAAAAAAAAAAAAGTTTTTTATCAAATTTATCAAAAAAATATTATTTTTAAAAAAATGAAAGAATGTATGTAATGTTTGAGTTTAGTAAGTGTTTTTTTATAGTTCTTTTAAATATATCAATAGATTTTATTTTTTTCATATTTTCGTCAAGAACTGACTTCCACAAGCGTGGCCCCCGACATGTAATTGAGAAGTCAGATTTTTTGAGTGATGTTGGTGGGATGTAGTAATTATTTATTGAGTGTCTTGTTTCATATTTATGGTTAATTAGAGAGAAACCTTTATAAAAATATTTTGGAATTAGTTCATTTTGAAGTTTAAACATAAATAACAAGTTATGGTATATATTTAGTTCGTATACGTTTAGCGCATTAATTTCCTTGTGTAACGGCTTGGCACTTTCGTACCTATCTGCGCCCAAAACTAATCGACTTGCTTGCTTTTGTTTAGTATAAATATTTTTTAGGAAAGATGAATGATTGTTTGCCCAGGCAATATTACAATAGTTAATATGACTATGTATAAATGAAAAGTATAAGTTTTTTAAACATATTTTATTCAAAAGATGTTTTGTCCTGTACATAATCCCCACAGTCTTTGAAACTTTGTTCTCGACTAACTTTATTTGGCTTTTCCAATTTAAATGTTCATCGAAATTTATTCCTAGTATTTTCATTGAAAAAACTCTTTTTATTTTAATATTGTTAATTGTTAGTTCTGGAAGTTTAAGTGGAAGGTTCTCGGATTGAGATGTTTTAGCAAACAAAATATATTTAGTTTTTTCAATATTTAATGATAGTTTATTTGCTATAAACCACTCATTAAGATATATTAGTTCAGCGTTTACATAATAAAAAATATTTTTTAAATTTGAGTCAGAAAAGAAAACATTAGTGTCATCAGCAAAAATAGTATAATTAAGTATTTTTGAAGACAAAAAAATATCATTGATATAAACTAAAAACAATAAAGGTCCAAGTATTGATCCTTGTGGAACTCCGCAACTTATTGATTCAAATGGGGAGCATGTTAGATCATATGGTACACCTTGTTTACGGTTTTCTAAATAACATTGAAGCCACTTTAAATTAGAGTGAACTACTCCGTAACTACGTAGTTTGTAGATAAGAATCTTGTGGTTTACAGTATCAAATGCCTTTGATAGATCTAGAAAAATTCCAAGTGTGTAACAATTGTTTTCAAAACCTTGTAAAATTTGGTTCGCAAGATCAATTACGGCATGTTCCGTAGAATGGTTTTTTCTTTTTAAACTTGTTAAGTCATGCTTCAAATGTTAATATTCAATGGTTTTTAGATACACTTATTCAACACGATATAATTCCCACAATAAATAAGTCAGCGAGAATACCTAAGACCTCGTCGACCTTAGAAAGAAGTAAAATTAAACATAAGCGACTGGCGAAATGCCTTTAACTGTCTAAAAAATAATAAATGTGCTAGCATAGATTATCTTACTATGCTTCTCAAAATTGTTAGAACGAATTATGTATGATAGACTTAATAGTTATTTAACTGAGAGCAATATAATGTATAATAAACAATTTGGGTTCAAATAGAAATTTCAACGGATCATGCGCTAGTCGAGCTAATAAATTATATACCCAATGGGTTCAATAATGATTATTATATATTAGGAATTTTTATAGATTTGTCAAAAGTATTTGACACTGTTGACCATGATATTCTTATGAAAAAACTAGAACTGTATGGAACACTTAACAATTACTTACTATGGTTTAAAAGTTACCTGTCAAACAGAAAACAATGTATAATATATTCAGCAAATGAAACAAAAAAATATATTTTAACTTGTGGTTTTCCCCAGGGATCAATCTTAGGCCCACTATCATTCCTACTCTATATAAATGATTTATATTTAGTATCCAAAAATTTTAATGTTATTTAATTTGCTGATGATTCGAATTATTTTTTTATTCAAAAAGTAATATAAAAGATCTGTTTAGAATATCAAACGAAAACAAAATCTCTAAAAATATCTCAATGTTATATAAAGTTAAACCATTTCTTAATATTGAGTCTTTAAAAATTATATATTTTTCATTTATTCATAGTTATCTTTCCTATTATAATATTGCATGGAGAAGTGTTAATTATGGGAAGCTTAAAAAAATCTATAGTAAACAAAAACATGCAAGTAGAATTATATTTGGTGTTAACAGTACTGTTAATGGGGAATCTCTTTAAATGGAACTTAATGCACTCAATGTTTATAAACGTAACATATACCAAGTTATGCTTCTAATATTTAAGACAAAACATGGTTTATCTCCTAATATATTTTACTCTTACTTCACCGAATTTACTCATAAATACCACACAAAGTATTCAACTAATAATTTTGTTGTTCCAAGATCGTATTTAAAACTCAGTTCGTTTCAAATTCAATACCATTTATATAGAAAAGTTTTTTGAAAAATATTATTAAAAATAAAACTCTTCTAAATTTCTCACTAGAACAATTCGAAAGAGAATCTAAACGATTTCTAGAAAATTATTTCGATCTTCAAAATTTTTTTAAAATAATTTATATATTTTTTTAAATAAGTACCTAATATAATTAAACTGAAAAAAGTCATCATTACTCACTTATTTCTGTCTTGATTTGTTTCTTATTTTCTTCTTATAAAAAAGAAAAATAAATAAACAAAAATATATATATATTATTATACGATTTACTAATTGTAATATGTTGTGTTTAACAACTTAATCTGTAACCAGTAAACTTTTAACTTTTAATTTTAACTTGTTACATAAACTGAAAGCGACAATGTAAACGGGACCTGGCGATAAGGCAATATACGTCTTCTTCTTGCTCCGGCCATTTATTATACGTGTACAATTTTTTTTATTGTAAATTTTATTAAACGGCAAAGGAAATAAATAAATAAATTTCTTAAACAGAAATACAGTACAAGGTACACAGTGACATAACTCATTTTGGAGTTAATATATAGTTTAAACTCAAGGAAAATAAAACCTTCACTTGGGTGCGAAAAAGAAGATCGCGATTTATTGAAATGTGTCGCAATAAATTTACTCGGTTTTAATATTTGGATCCGTTTGCAATATTCGAAAAAAATAGAGTTAAGAGAAAATGTGTAATCCATACGAGTTGAATTCATAAGCATAAAATTCAAAAAAATGAAACTAAGTTTTAAGTATATACAAACTCTTTGAATTTTAATTTATAGGCGAAGGTCATGAAAAAACAATTCAACTTTACCTATTTTATTATAATATAAATAAATCCTATTATAAACTACCCTAATAGTCGTGATTATATACAAATAAAATATTTTTTCGTTTTTATATTAAATCTTATATTAAATATTAAACGCCCTAATATTAAACGCCTAAATACCAATAGTTATGTTAAAAACATTTTTTTTTTGTACTTAACAGTAAATTGATATAATTTTTTTTTTGTAGTATTCAAGTATTTGTCTTAAAAAAAACAGCACAGGAAACACCAATTAAACTCATAAATATAAATAAAAATATATAATAAATAAATATGTACACATCATAAAATTACAAACTTCTTTATAGAAAATATCATCACAAAAAAAAATCATACAAAATTTTGAATTTGTTGTTTAAAAATTATTTAAGCAGAAAAATTAGGAGCTTTATAAAAGTATATATATTTATCTCGATGTAAGTGTATATTTATACGTTATTATAGAAATAAAAATAGATGTGAGTACAAATATGTGCAGAAAAAATATATATAAGTAGAAGATTTATGATTAAAACATTAGTTAGTTTTAAAAAGTAATAGTGTGCAATAATTAATAATTGATAAAATCGTAAAACTATGTATTAAAATATTAATACATAAATATTATCATATCAGTAATAGGTTTACATTCTTTCACTTATATGCGTTTATTTTTAAAAAATTAGTTATCCAGAAATATTCCAAAAAGTTACCTTAAAATTGCTAGGTTTCTACAATTGTTTTTATTTTTGGTGAAAAATTATTATTAAAAACCTCTTGGGGAGTAGGAAGTCTATCTTTTGCAACCGCTGAAGTTACGCTAGTAATTGTCTCGGGAACTGACAAACGAGCGTTTTTATTCAAAATGGAATTGGAAAAGTTTTCCATGTGTTCGTTGAGTTTTCGCTTTGTCAAATTCTGATGATTATTTTTAAAATTTTTGACAATTTCTTCGACTGCTACAAGCTCATTGACATGTAGCTTTTCTGCAATGTTTTCAAAAAATTTTACAAACTGATGAGTCAAATTACCTCCTGAATTTTGTGAGTTTTTTAACGTTAATTCCATTGGTTTTATACTTTTGCAAGAGCAAAATTTATCAGCTGATATAAACTTATTACAGCCGCACCGGTTTATATCAACTCCATTAATATTTTCTTTACTATTTGTTGGTACACCAGAGTTTAGTTCATTTTTTTTGTCCTCATTATTACCTGTTTTATAAATTTGTACATTATTGTCACTGCTACTATAAAAATTTCGATCTCTATTGCTGTTTGCTTTGTTTCCAGTATTATACTCGACCATTTTAGAAGATATAGCTGAAGCGCCTGAAGGTAATCCAGCTCTGACTGAATTATCCCATAACTGGTTATTACTTTTTAAAAGATTTTTTATTACAGTTTGTTTTTCTTTACTGACATTATTACAGTCAACTTCCGTTCCTACAACACAGAGAACGCCTTTCCTATTAAAACCTCCTGACATCCCGTCAAAAGAGTGGAGGGAAGAACCGCTATCACCTACCATAAAAGCAACATTATTCAATCTGTTTTTAAATCTGTTGTTGAGCGTGTTTTCTTTTAATAGGTTCTTGTTTCCATTAAATTTTGTTAAATCTTTATTGCTTCCAAAATTTCTGTTGATTTGATTATTAAAAATTGGATTAACAAAGTTTACTTTTTTGTCAACGTTTCTATATATTGTGCTACACTTTGTGTTATAATTGTTGCCAGTCAACAAAGCATTTTGTTTTTGGCAACTGTTTCCAGTATTTAGAACTTCAAGATTTCCTTTTCCATTTTCGTTTTTAATAAAATTTTGAAAAAGCTGACCATTTTGTGCACTGATTCCGTTAACAAAATTGTTAACTGCGATATTAGTTTTTTCATTTTCATTGGGAAAATGATTATCAGCTTGTTTATTGTTACTCATATCATGTCCTCTATTCTCATCAATAAATCCGCCTGTATTAATACGAATATCTTTGGAATCATCAAATTTATTATTATTTTTAATATTTAATAAGTTATTTCCTTTTTGTCCTTCTAGCAGATTATACTTGTTGTAATTCAGAATGTTTGCAATATCCGATTCTAAACTTTTGACTCTGTTCGTATCTAGATTGGTAACTTTGTTTTTATCTAAACTCACTGCCCCATCCATGGGTTCATTACCACCAAAATTTAAAACTCTAAAGTTACTTGCGCTGCTACCTGCATTCATGACCTCGTTGTTACCTCCATTGGTTTCTACATTTATGGCATTATTGTTATCTGCATTGGTAGCGTCATTTAAGATTCCATTATTATTTAAATTACTACCTAAATTTTTGTCTATATAACTATTTATACCAGCTACCAAATATTCATCAGCTTTGTTATGATTGTTATTTACATTTCCATCACGTCTACTACCTGCCTTTCTGCTGTCTTGAGCATTAAAATTGTTATTCTCCGCTCTATGAAAAGTTCGGAAGTTTGTTGTAGTGCTAATACCGTTACCAGCCATATTTATTAAGTTATTACATTCATAGCACCCTCCAGCATCTTTATTCTCATAAGCACCTATGTTTTTACTAAGTTGTTGACCTTCGTTTAAGTTACCTCCTTTATTATTGTTAAGGCTTAATCCTTTAAAACGTTCAGCATTTATGCTTTGTCCTATATCAACATTTCCTATACCAATTTTAATTCCTCCGCTATCTACATTAATATTCACATTTCCATTTAACGGCCCTGAATTTCCATTGAAATTTTCTTGTTTTTTCTCAATACCTTTTTCATGAAAGCAATTCCCTGCAACAACTTCACAGCCAAGATTACTGTTGCTAATATTGTTTTCTATTTTCTCATTATTATTTGCGTATTCTTGAGACTTACCACCATTAATGTTCGTGTTAATCATTTTATTTTCTTCAATATTTCCAAAATTTCCGATACGCGCATTATTAGGGCAATTAATATTTTTGTCACCATTGCCGGCAGAATATACACCATTAACGGCAGTTTTTTCATTTATAGCACCTCCATTAGCGTATTGACCGTTAGAATCAATTTTATTAGATCCCATGTTAACCGAGTTTGCGGCATTTTGACTTACCTGGACGTTTTGTTGACAATTAGTTTCAGTTTCTTTTCCTTCGGAGTTGGAAATTCGATTTTCACTTAACACGGCTGCGTTATTAGAGTATCTACCATCACCATTATCTCCACGATTAACGTTGTTTCCAACATTGTTTCCAACATTGTTATTATTTTGATTGTTACTATTAACTTCACCATTACTGTATATTCCTGCGTTATCGTTACGGTTAATTCCATTATTACCGTTAATTCCCTCATTACCATTAGCTCCGCCATTATTGTTTACTCGACCATTATTATTAATACCATCATTACCGTTAACGCCACCGTTACCATTAACTCCATTGTTAACGTTGATTCTACTATTATCGGCAACTCTACCATAGTTGTTATCTTTACTGTTACCATTAACTCCACTATTATTGTTTCCTCCAGAACTACCTGCATTTTCTTTATTTCCAGTTCTGCCGTTAAATCCACCATCATTTCCATCATTTCCATTACTATTAATATTGCCGTTAGCTCCGTTATTACTATTATTTATATTATTAACATTGTCTTGCCCATTACTGTTACTTCCGCCATTACTGCTTCCTCCGCCTTTATTGTTTCCAATATTTCCATTAGCTGGAACATTATTTGTACCTGAATTGCTATTTCCATTCTTTTCATTTTTACTTAAATTTGTATTATTTGCTTCGTTTTTAACTAAACCTCCCCCTTCTCCACTTGTTTTTGAATTATCTTTAGCTGTGTCTTCGTTTCCTTTACCATTTTCATCATTTACTGCACCATTATTGTTAACACTTCCATTACTTCCATTGTTTTTATTGTTTCCTCCATTTTTATCAGTAGAACCCTTGTTGTTTTGGTCCTTGTTAATTAAATTATCTTGAGTTTTGTCGTCACTTCCTTTTAATTCAGGAGTGTTACTGTTTTTCTCATTCGACCCACCAACATTAGAAGAGTTTCCATCTTTACTATTGTCACCAGAACCTGAGTTGTTATTATCTTTATTAGCTATATTATCTTGAGTTTTACCGTCACTTCCTTTTAATTCAGGAGTGTTACTGTTTTTCTCATTTGACCCACCAACATTAGAAGATTTTCCGTTATTTTCATTATTTTTATTGTTCGTTTCAACTTTGTTAGAAGAAGCCTTATTATTTACATCATTGCTATTGTTACCAGCACCCATGTTATTTTTATCTTTATTGTCGCTTCCTTTTAATTCAGGGGTATTGATGTTTTTCTCGTTTGACTCATCTGCATTATTAGAGCTTCCATTTTTTCCATTACTTTTATTGCTGTTTTCTTTTGACTCATTAGGGTTATTATTGTTTTGATTTTTTACATTAGGGTCATTATTATTTCCATTATTCACATCATTGCTATTGCTACTAGCACCCATATTATTTTTATCTTTGTTGTCACTTCCCTTTAAATCAGGGGTGTTGATGTTTTTCTCGTTTGACCCATCTCCATTACTAGAGCCTCCATTTTTTCCATTATTCTTATTGTTGTTTCCATTTGACTCATTCGGGTTATTATTATTTCCATTTGAAGTAGTACTATTTCCCCCAACGGTCATATCTTTTCCAACATTTCCAGTGTTATTCTCTTGATTTTTATTTTGATTATCTTTGCTTTGAGAATCATTTGCAGTTTTGTTGTTAGGACTTTTATTGTTTTCAGAACCTGGTGACTGGTTTGACAACTTAACACTTACTGCTGAATCTCCTTCAAACATAGGTTCTGAAATTTTTTCTGGAAAAGGAACTCCTAAACCAAATACAGCTCCACTTGTTGCACCAGTACCGGCAGCTATTATTGCTCCTACCATACCATTATCTCCTTTTCCGGATGGATGATTCAAAACTATGAAAAATATAAATAAATAAATAAAAGCTAAAATTGAAAATAAATTTTCAAAAGCTGTTAATGAAATACATGTATATATATATATATATATATATATATATATATATATATATATATATATATATATATATATATATATATATATATCAGGGGTGTGGAGTCGTAAAGAAAAAGTAACGACTCCGACTCCGACTCCAGTTGTTGAAATTTTTGAGTACAACTCCGACTCCGACTCCAACTCCAACTCCAAAGCAAAATTTTTGAAAAATTCTTTGAATTCTTTAAAAAATATTGCCCGTAAGTTGAATTTTTTTTTTTGACAAATTTATGAAACATTCTTTGATGTTATGAACATAAGTATAATTGAAAGTTTTGTACATGCACGTGCAATACCAAGAAATTTTACTATCGGAGTCGAAGTCGCGATATTTTTTAGCGACTCCGAATCCACAGCCCTGATATATACACATATATATATAAAGGAAAAAGAAGTCAAGTAAAACAACAATATTCAAAAAATGAACTAATTTTTTTAATGAAAAAGTTTCTTATATTAAAATATTACTAAGAAAATATTAAATAGTACTAAAGCCCTTTCAGTATTAATCATTAGTAGTATGAGTTACAACGGTAACTCATAGTTACAAAACTGTAATTAAATATTTCTATTATATAACTTTTTACATATATCAAAATCATGATAATTACATTTGCAATAGTACTGATGATTAATTCTGAAAGGCCTCTAGTACTATTTAATATTTTCTTAGTAATATTTTAATATAAGAAACTTTTTCATTAAAAAAATTAATTCATTTTTTGAATATTGTTGTTTTGTTTGGCTTCTTTTTCCTTCATATTGTTTAAAATTAAATTGCTTGTTATATATATATATATATATATATATATATATATATATATATATATATATATATATATATATATATATATATATATATATATATATATATAACAAGCAATTTAATTTTATATATATATATATATATAAATATATATATACATATATATATATATATATATATATATATATATATATATATATATATATATATATATATATATATATATATATATATATATATATATATATATATATATATATATATATATATCTCCGTATTCTTTATCTTTCTTTTTCTACTTATTTTTCTAACTTTTTTTATCCACTACTTCTTTCTCTACTTATTGCTTTATCTTATTAGCTCATATCCAAATTTTGGATAGTAATATATTAACTATTCGTGTCTATAATACAGTTTTTGTTGTACTTCGCATACCTATATTAAATGTAATTGTTATATATACCTATACTTATATTTTATTATATATATATCTTTATTTATATATTACTATTATAAAAATAGTTATAACTGAGATTTTATTTATACTTTTGTTCGCTTATATTTTTTACAGAGTTTTAAAAAGTTTTTTTTTTTTTGTTATATATACCTATACTTATATTTTTGCGCTCTGACACAAACTAATATTAGTAAATTTTATATCCATGTATTATATATAAGACACATATAAAAAAAATTATATATAAACATATACAAACAATATAAAGAAATTAAATATATACAAATAAATATAATAACACGGAAAAAAATGCATACTGAATCTTTTAAATTGCTCAATTAAAGCAAGTCGAAGACCCAATTTAAAACTTATTCATGCTGAAACTGCGAAATGGTCGGTCAAAATATCTGAACTAGAACAAGTAATAAAGCAACAACAATTAATAATAGATAAGCTAATCCCAAATCCAAATGAGCAAACAAATACCAAAACCAGTAATATCGAATCCAGCTGGGTTACTGTTGCAAGCAAGAACATAAAAAAAGCAGCCTATTGAACAACTAACAATTATCAACATATTTGCCATTGAGCAACAGCAAAAAAAGAAGCGTGAAAAAAATGTTTTTATTTATGGCATTAAAGAATCTGCAAAGTTATCAGTGCTGATAAGCAGATCGACAATAAGGAAACGGTTCAGAATATCTTAGTTACTATTTAATCTGATGCAAAACCAAAATCTGTCAAACGTATTAAATCTACGTCCTCTAAACCAGGACCAATTATCGTCGAACTTTTTGATGTCTCCGAAAGAAACCCATTATTAACAGCAGCGAAAAAATTGAAAAATTCAGATGATTATAAAAATGTTTTTCTAAGCCCAGATTTGACTAAGGCTGAAAGATATTTAAACTATCAGTTAAGAATGAAGCGTAATGAATTAAATAGTAATATCAATTTAAAAACATCGCCCTTTAGATACGGTATACGAAGCAGCGGAGCCGTCAAACTTAAAAATATACAAACCACTACATAAACATTACTACACCTCTCGCACTCTTTTACCAGCAAACTTAAAATACAAAAGTAAAAGTCTTCATAACAAAAAAACAAACTATAGCGTTAATAGCGTTAATTGTTATTATACTAATGCAACATCTCTCCATAATAAAATGGCCGATTTAATTTCAATATCTAGAACGTTTGATTATCACGTTATTGCTATTTCAGTACAGACTCAGTACCAAATATCGATGGGTATAGCCTATATCGTAAAGATCATCAAGACGGACGTCGAGGTGGCGGTGTAGCTATCTACATTGCAGACGTATTTAACTCTCATGAAGTTAACCAATTTTATACAAATCTACTCGAACAAGTCTGGGTATCTGTAAAATTTAGCAACAAACATATACTTATCGGTTGTATATACAGACCAAATGATGCTAGTTTAATAAAGTATGTCGCTGAATCCTTCAAATTAGATCATAGTTTAATTAAAAAGCCCTACGATGACTGTTTGATTGTCGGTGACTTTAACCTCCCGAATATAATGTGGTCTAACGATGGTATTATATCTTTTAACCCAAACAATTCTACCGAGTATGTTTTCCGGAATATTTTCCAAAGCAGCCTTTTTACGCAACATATCACATTTCCTACATTCCAGACTGATTATGGTCCCTCAAATAATATGTTGGACTAGTTATTTACCTACAACAGTAATTCTATTTTAAACTTTTCTCCTAGTACTATACTAGGTAATAACACTAAGGGTCATTTTAATATCACTTGGAGATTCTTAGTTTCAGAACTGTTCACCGAAAGTGAATCTCAATCGTTTAATTACAAAAAAGGTGATTTCGATTCAATATCTAACTTTATTGCATCAATCGACTGGGAGTTTTTATTTCTGCATAAAACTGCAGATCAAATGTTCAATATACTAATTTCTAACTATCGCACTGCTTGCACATACTTTATTCCCAAGATTAATAAAACAAAAAAAAAGTATGATCCTTGGGTTACCCCACATATTAAAAACCTGATCCGAGCAAAAAAATACTCTTGGCATATTAACTGCTCTACCAAATGGGAGAATAGTGAGCTTAAAATAAAATACAATCGACTTAATCGTTTAGTAAAAGCTGAAATATTTAAAGCAAAAAAAGCACATGAAAAAGAAATAATATCAAAATCCCAAAACAACCCAAAACTCGTTTACAAATATATCAATAAACAACTAAAAATTAAAAATCGAATTCGCTCTCTCAAAGATACTTCTGGCAGAATTATTGAAGCTCTTCCTGATATAGTTGATCTTCTGAACTCTCAATTTGAATCTATGTTTACACTTAAAAGCTCTGAAAATTTTCCTTTGCTAAATAAAAGTGGTATTCATTCTGAATGCATTTATAATGAAAACTTGGATTTCTCTATCCCAGATATTATTCAGGAACTTGCCAATCTAAACCCTTACAAATCTTTCGGATTTGACGGCCTGCATCCCTTAATACTCAAGATATGTGCCAAAAGCTTTGCAATTCCATTAACAAAAATCTTTCATGAATCCTTTAATTCTGGAATAGTACCCAGTCAATGGAAATTAGCAAATATTAGTCCGATCTATAAAAAAAAGGGAGATAAATTACTTGCTGAAAACTATTGACCTATTTCACTAACATCTGTTGCCTGTAAAATCTTCGAAAAACTTGTAAAGAACAAAATTTTGCTCTCTGCAAATCAACATGGCTTCCTTTATCATAAATCTTGCGTAACTAACCTAATAGAAACTTTTGATATTATTTCGTCCTCCATAGCATCCCACCATTTTATTGATGTAATCAATCTTGACTTGTGAGGTACAGAATCAAACGCTTTTGTTAAAATTAAGATCTTTCGGAATGAACGGCAAACTCCTACAATGGATTAAATCCTTTTTCGTGGGCAGAAAGCAACGCGTTACAATTAATAATACCAACTCTGCATGGGTTAATGTTCTCAGTGGTGTTCCTCAAGGTTCTGTTCTCGGCCCGCTCCTCTTCATTCTCTACACAAATGATCTTGCAAAACTCACTGAAACTTCTGAGATATTTTCCAATGATACTAAACTTTTTCCTAAAACCTTATCGCAATCTAATTTTGTTGATCTGCCGGATTGTCTACGCTTGGTATACGAGTGGTCAAACACTTTGTTACTTAAGTTAAACACCTCAAAATGCTGCGTCATTCATTACGGTCGAAACAACCCCCATTACAATTACTTTCTTCAAAATAACCAAGGAATCAACCAATGTCTAAGAAGCTCTACTAAAGAACGTGATTTAGGAGTCATTTTTACATCTAACCTCAAGTGGAGCGCTCATATTCAAACAGTTGTCTCTAAGTCCTTACAAATTCTTGGTATGCTGAAAAAGACATTCACTTTCATTGATGAAAAAATGGCTCTCAAATTATATAAAGTATTTTTAAAACCACATCTTGAATATGGAGTGTCCATTTGGGCTCCTTATTTAAAAGCTGATATGGCTTTGGTTGAATCTGTTCAACGCAAAGCAACAAAATGGGTTTACAGCTTGAGGCATCTTCAATACTGCGAAAGGCTAAAAAGATTAAATCTACCATCACTTGAGTTTCGACGCCTTCGATGCAATTTAATCCAAATTTTTTAAATTAATACA